CAGCAATAGCTCTGGTCATAACTGAGAACGGAAGTCAAGTTAACCTTAAACCCAGTTACCGGCTTGCTCACGAGGCTTTCGATTGGAGGATTAAAGCGGAAGTTTCACGCTCCAACTTGGGATCTGAATATAGTGCTCCAACACCTCACAAGTGAGGGTTTATGAACACGCTTTGATGATATACTTGGACCCCATGATACAATGAATCTATCACGATGGCCAGTAAGAGCACTGAAAATATATCTCCACCGGGCCAAACAGGAGGGAAAAATTCAAGAGATTTATTTCCTCTATCGACAAGCTCATCAGACTGAAGTCTCACATGCACTACTATCTCCTTTTTGGATCAGAACTGTCATACTACGTGCCTACAAGACTGCAGGACTCGACCACTCCAAGAGCTTCTAATCCTTATGATATTAGAGCTAACATCTACACTTGCTGTACGACAAGTGCTATTGAAATACCATAATAGAGGGTTAATTCTGGAGATCCGATATGGTGTTTGCCAACCACTATCTGAGAGATATCACCACCGAGGACGTCTCAGGTATCCACCAATTGGTCCCATGGTCCCTCGCACAACAGTTGACAGTTCCTCGGAGAAGATAAGTCAATCTTACAGATTTCTCTACTTATCTTATAACAGTACTAAATAGCTACATGCTATATATATATTTTGCTTAAGTTCTTTTATTATCTTAAGCTCAAGTACTATGGTTATTATATCATACAATATATAAGCTAACAACTCTACGGAGTTTGTTATTATATATTTAGCTTAAGTTAATCATATCTTAAGCTCAGTACTATGGTTACATTATAAATGTATTGAGTTAGCTAACAAACTCTACAGAGTTTTTGCTATTATATATGTAGCTTAAGTTAATCATATCTTAAGCACAGTACTATACTCATGTCATAAAATATATTAGCTAACAAACTCTACGGAGTTTTTTTTAATATATATGTAGCTTAAGTTTATTCATATCTTAAGCTCAGTACTATGTTTATATCATATAAGTATATTAGCTAACAAACTCTAAAGAGTTTTTGCTATTATATATTTAGCTTAAGTTTCATCATATCTTAAGCATTATGGTTACATTATAACATGTATTAGCTAACAAACTCTACGGAGTTTTGCTATTATATATTTAGCTTAAGTTTATTCATATCTTAAGCTCAGTACTATGTTTATATCATATAAGTATATTAGCTAACAAACTCTAAAGAGTTTTGCTATTATATATTTAGCTTAAGTTTCATCATATATCTTAAGCATTATGGTTACATTATAAAATGTAATAGCTATCAAACTCTACAGAGTTTTTGGCTATTTAGGTAGCTTAAGTTAATTATATCTTAAGCACAGTACTATACTCATATCATAAAATATATTAGCTAACAAACTCTCACGAAGTTTTGCTATATATATATATAGCTTAAGTTTTATTCATATCTTAAGCTTAGTACTATGTTTACTTCATAAAAGTATATTAGCTAATAAACTCTAAGGAGTTTTTGCTATTATATATTTAGCTTAAGTTTAATCATATCTTAAGCTCAGTACTATGTTTATATCATAAAAGTATTTTAGCTAACAAACTCTAAGGAGTTTATGCTATCATATTAACAAGCTTAAGTCTATTAGTCTTAAGCATTGTATTAATGTTATATATACTTTTATCATAATAAGTAAATTGTAATAACCTTTATATGGCAGCTGATGATTAGTTAGCAGGAATTCATCAGTTCAGTGCCTTTATGAAGTTCCCATAGGGTTATTACAATCATCACAGTTCAAATCACCAATTATTAAAATCCAAAGTATTATATATTCCCACCTCCTTTTCATTGGATTCTACAAGCAATAAGCATGAGTCAGGATAAGGAAAAATATGTAATTTTAGAGTAAAATTGATATTTTCGCTTATCCTGACTCATGAGGTAAGCCCCTCCCATCCTCCCCACATAACACTTTGGATTTCCCTGAAAATTCAAGTGTTGGGCTCAGTATATGAGGAGAGAGTGAGGCACATGGGTTGAGGTGGCGCCCTCGTTCCCGCGAAGGGAGGTAACTCGTGGTGAGTGCTAATTAGTGATTTTTTAATTGAAGGGAACTTCAATTGGGAGATACACGTGTTCCACTATGTTCGCAAGAAGAAGAAGACAAGCAATAAGCATGAGTCAGGATAAGTATAAAATATCAATTTTACTCTAAAAATTACATTTTTCGATGAATCGGAATTTTGTTTTTTAGTATAACACACTTGAATGAACCATTAACTTGACGAATATTCATGAACAAACATGTCCTCAACAGCGTAATGCTATGCACAGTTACATATTCATTACTGTGGCAAATATCAATAAATAATCAAGTAATGAAAAATGACAGTAAGCATTCTAAGCACTTTTATTGTTTAATTACATTTCCAGTTTCATTCTTGACAGTATTAGTTATACAAAAAACAGTACTTAGGAAAACCTGAGGAAACACCCTTAAAATTGGTGATTGCATTTAAAATGTATATATATTTCAATTATAATCGATAATCGTTCACCACAAGTCCTCCGGTTATCGATAGTGGATTTGGTTTTCTATTCCCAACACTAGTATTCTGGAACTAGTATATTTACTGCTAAACATGGTATTGACTTCTCACATTCAGACTGTTAAATGATTGTTTTGAAATTCTCAGTAAATTTTTTGTATGTATACTGAACCACAAAAGAAACGTTGCTTTTCAAAACCAAATGCAAAAATTTGTTCTTGCAAGGTGGTATTTTTTTTATGATTGTACCATTTTCTTAAAATGTTTTTCAATCCAAATTGACAGTTATTACCAACATCTGTGTGTTTTCTGATGAAAAAGCATATCGACCAAATGCACCGAAAAAGGCAGACATGGTAAAAGGTTCTGTATGATATTCATGAAAATGAAAATGCACGTGCATGTCGTGACAACCCTACCAATGACAGCGAGTCCCAAACTCGCCTGAAATCATTTTTAACTTGACACAACCACAATGCCACGACTTTCGGGAGATCAGAGGAACCAAGTCCTGGGACGATTGCAAGTTGTCCAGACTGCACAGAGGGAAGCCAATCATTTTAATGTTCATGTTAGGACAATCTTCCAACTGTAGGAGTGGTATCAGGTCACTAACAGCAGCCAAGACTGTCCATGCAGTAGGTGACATTCAGTAACATTGCTACGTCAAGACCGACAGATTGTGCGCCACCATCTGCAGGATCGCTTCCCCAGAGCGATGGAAACAGCACGCCATGCTATTGGGACTAACAACAGACCCATCAGTGCCGATACAGTGCGTCAACGTTTGCGCGGAAGAAACCTCTGCTGTCAGATACCCTATCGTGTTCCTGTCCTCACCGCTCATCACCGCCTAAACCGACTGCAATGGGCAACTCAGCATCAAAATTGGCGTTATCGACAATGGAGAACTGTGCTGTTGTCTCATGAAAGTCAATATTGTGTTTTGACAGTCGATGGCAGAGAGATGGTATGGTGAAGGTGTGGGGAACCGTTTTCCAATGAGTGTATTGTTGAAAGAGACTAGTGGGTTGGTCCAAGCATCGTAGTGTGGGGTGCAACCGGTCTGAACCAGTTAGTTGACACTGTGGTGTTCCAGAATTTTGGTCCAGGATGAGTAAATGACGTGACAGCTGCTCGCTATATTGATTAACTCATAAGACCCCATGTTATACCACATTTTGGACGTTACAGAAATCACATCTTCCAGCAAGACAACGGTTGTGCCCACACTGTCAGAGCAACATAAGACTTCCTAAGACAACATGGCATCCAAACCCACCAATAGCCTGCACTCCGTCTGAATTTAAGTCCAGTAGAAAACCTTTGGGACGAGATTCAAAGAAGACTGAATGACCTCCAACCAAGGCTGACAACTGCGACTGGACTTGATCAGGCATTTCGCAGAGTATGGACCCAAGTGCCTATGGCCTTCATCGACTGGCTAATTCATTCCATGTACAGACAATGCAACGATTTCATCGATGCCCATAGAGGTCACACACAACACTGACTTTGGGATATCCTAATGGTACCAGTTTTGGTGATTTTGTTTGTGTGAACTCTAAATGTGATTCCTGAAAATGTGTTAACCAAAATTGTCAAGTTTGAACTCAGTCCTCCGTTTTGATTGTTAATTAGAGTGAATTAAAGTATGTGCTTTAAGAAACCACTATCAGTGCGACATTTCTTTTGTGGTTCAGTATATATTAGTGCAGTTATATCTGTTGCCGTAATTGTTATCCTTTATTTGTCAGTATCATGTCTGTGCTTGTGGCATTCACAAAGAGTTACACATCCGTGAAGATCCAGGTTAGAATTAGTCTTCAGCAACCCATGCTTGTCGTAAGAGGCGATTAACGGGATCAGTCGGTCATGCTCGCTGACTTGGTTGACACATATCATCATATCCCAATTGCGTAGATCGATGCTCATGCTGTTGATCACTGGATTGTCTAGGCCAGACTCAGTTATTTACAGACTGCCGCCATACAGCTGGAATATTGCTGTGTGCTGCATTAAACAACAAACAAACAACTTTTAAAGAGACAGTTGTTGTTGCTACACGACCACACATATCTCACTGCAGACTCTCCTGCTAATCACTCCTGAGTGGGGTGTTAAACAACAAACAAACTAAAGTATTAAGCCTCTAAAACATTCAGCTATTTCAGGGGTGGAAATAACTCATTAATCGTCTGAGTCCAGTGTTTTTTTCTGTCGGGCAAGCAAATTGTATATCACGCTGTACCGGTGTCCAGTTGACTTTCCAATGTTAATAATGTTATTTATTTAAAAAATTCAACAAGAAAACGGACGGTATAGTGGAAAAATTATTAGGGCAAGTGATTTTACATGTGCCACTGTACCGGAGTACACTAGCAATTTTAAAGTTATTTCCACCCCTGTATTTGAAATATTCTTTCCTCATTAAACTGGAGCCAAAACAAGAGAGAAACAAAGGAATGTTAAACTTTTCTTCCAGAGACGACATCCAGGTGGATGGACAGGATGCCACAGATGGCACTGTTAATACTTCTGTACAAGATGGTGAGTATAACATTGTTGTAGTGACAAGGTCTGTGAGGATTCCAGTCAAGTACTCACCAAATACCTCCTGTTTCTCTCAAGAGCCGATGGGTGGTGGGTTAGCCTAATGGTCAAAGCATTCGCTCATGCCGCTGAAGACCAGGGTTCAATTCCCCACAAGGGTACAATGTGCGAAGCCCTTTTCTAGTGTTGTGATATTGCTGGAATATTGCTAAAAGTGGCATAAAACCATACTCACTCACTCTAAAGGCGACTAACGGGATCGGGTGGTCAGGCTCACTGACTTGGTTGACACATGTCATCGTATCCCAGTTGCGTAGATTGATGCTCATGGTGTTGATCACTGGATCGTCTGGTCCGGACTCGATTATTTACAGATCGCCGCCGTATAGCTGCAATATTGTTGAGTGCGGCGGAAAACTATACTCACTCACTCGCTCACTGACTCACTCTAAGGAGCCGACCCCAATGACTATAGCTGATTGTTAAATCATGTTTTCCGAGTCATAGTGATCGTTATGAATCTGACATTATAGTGATATGAAATATTGAACTAAACCTTACAAACTTTCCGTAATTTTCTTTTTCATGGTGTATAAAGTTGCTGTGTTACATACTTTCAATGCCTGTTTTAAATGAGAGTAAAATATGCTGATCTTATAAAAATGCATAAGCACACTTAGCACCAAGCGTTGCTTAATGGCTATTATTGGTGTTTCCTTGATTCAGATAGACTACCCACACAAAACATTGGCCTCTACAAATTCTGCTTCAATCAATGTCTTAGCTAACACCAAAAAGTGTGTACAGTGTATTTATTTTTGTCATTCCTGAATGGGGGTAAACACAATGTAGATGTAATTTATTTGTAGATTTGAACGTATTGAAGTGAATCTGACATCTTTGAGTCTATAGATAACCGAGCTATCTATGAAAAATAAATGCATTTGTCTCCTAATATGTTTGCTCACTTTCAGCTCCTGTTAATATGTTGACTGAGTTACTAAATCAAACATTCTGATTGTTGTTTAAGAAGAGATGTCTGTTTCAGGGCCTGAGAATGGTGAAAACAGAAGAGTTGAGGACTTAGCAGAAGAATTAAGCAGTAAGTAGACTTTTGTAATGTATTCAGGACTCGCTTGCTGCACTGTTTTGTTTATATGTCATAAATATGACCCCTTTTCTGTTGTCTCACAATGTGTAACTGAATTATGAATAGGTTTCTATCTCCTGCATTTCAGAACTCAAGCTCAATCTGGAAACAGAATCAGAGGAAAAGAAGATCCTGAGGGATCAGCTCACATCTAGTGAGGTAGGTTCAGTGATTCATATAGACCTTCAGTGCCATATCTTCAGCAAATTATCCTTACAAATTCCCAGGTTATGAGTATGGATGTTGTATTTCATGTTTTCACATGTACTGTTACAAATCCTGTGAAACATTGGTGCCAAGTCCACCTTATTGTTGTTGTTGAATATTCACTGCCAGCTACAGTTTCACTTGTAAAACCCTGGTTATTGTTTCATCTTAATAAATTAGACCCGTGAAGATCCGGGGTAGAATAGGTGCTCAGCAACCCATGCTTGCCACAAAAGGCGACTATGCTTGTCGTAAGAGGTGACTAATGGGATCGGGTGGTCAGGCTCGTTGACTTGGTTGACACATGTCATCGGTTCTCAATTGAGCAGATTGATGCTCATGCTGTTGATCACTGGATTGTCTGGTCCAGACTCAATTATTTACAGACCGCCGCCATATAGCTGGAATATTGCTGAGTGCGGCGTAAAACTAAACTCACTCACTCACTCTTAATAAATTATCCTGGTCAAGGTCAAGGTCAAGGTCCTGAACTTGTATCTTGGACTGGCATTACATGGTGGTTCTTTCGGATGTCAGAAGCTTTGATGAATTGGTGTTGAAGGGGCTGATCTATTTTTGCAAGTTCTTTTTATAATGCAAATATTAACAATGCTAGCTCATAAGTCAAATATTTTGCCCTTACATTGTGTATATATTTCTTTCTTCTTTAGAAAAAGTACAAGGATCAGTTGATTACTCTCCAGGATGAAGCTGAAAAAGTGAGTTTGCAATTCTATGCTTTCACATTCATACTCTTTGTAGAAAGGACTTGCTTCTTGATCTTGCTTATTGTGTATATGTAAAGAGTAAGCTCTGTTTAAAGTGATACCATGTGATGAGTATATGCCAGTAAGAAAACCAGTACACATCTCTTGTCGAATTTTACTGTAATCGTATAGGTCAAGAAGGCCGACTGGGTGTGAGCTGATATAAGAAATTCAGCTGTTAATATGTTTTGATATGAACAGTCTAGAAATGAAAATATATTAATATTTTTTCTTAATTTCAGGTAACTGAAAAATTAAAGAAAAAGCAGGAAAGGTAAGGATATACTTGCAATGTTTTCATCCGTTTAGAACTTTTTTGTCTCAGTGAAATATTTTGTCATCAACTTGTTTTAAATGTATATATTAGACTAATATTAGCACGAATGGTTATGAATGAAGATGTCCTTGACCCCACATGTAGTGTTGCTCACTGGTTTTTCATCTTGTTTCAGCTTTGTTAATTTACAGTCTGAGAAGGAAGAGCTATTCAAAGAAAGCAAGTGAGTGATTTAACATATGAGCTTTTTTAAAATTATCTTTATAAATCTTTTGACTAAAAAAATTGGCAACCATAATATTTGGACCAAATAGTAAGCCTGTCTGGCATTAGTACACATCTATACTCATTATGATCATGCTTGTGCTATTTTGCTTTTGCTCTCCATTATTTGAAGTGAAGGAAATGATTAAAAAACCTAGATATTCCTATCTTCAGAGTTCCTCATACAGTCATCCCTTGCCATAATGCCCTTCGCGATGCCACATTCTTAGTTAAACCGCAGGGTAATCTGTGGCTCCCATACAAAATTTCCCCTACGATCACACATCTTCATGCACAAGATAAATGTTGGCCTATGTTTCATGTTATGTACAATGCAGATGTCGTATAACATGGAGGGTCACCATGGACCCCAAGACCTGCGTTATGGAGGGGTGACTGTAGTAACTATTGAGGGCGAAGGTGTCCCTATTGTCTGAGATGCTGCAGTTGGTGCAAGTTCTGTGTCCTTTAGGACAGCAAGAACCATGGGTTAGAATATCAGATAAATCCTGATAATGATTGGTGGTTTAGTCAGAAACAATTTGGGATTTCCACTTGAGTGGGAACCATTTCAGGCCTGCATTACTTGCTGTTTTTCCACATTGAGCTTCTCCTGAGAACTGCTAGATTTATACCCAGTTGTGTTAAATCCTACTCACTCACTCCTTCTGCAAGATGTATGTCAGGGTCAAGAGTCGTGTTAGTGAGTGTGCAGATCATCTTGGTGTATATCTCCAAAATATATCCAGATTCTCTGAACACAGTGGAGAAGTTCAGGATATATTTTACTTTGGTTTGTCCAAATATCAATCAAAATTCACACTTCATCACAATGCATTAGCACATCTGATTCTCAGACTTATTGCACTTTATCACAATGAATACTGTAAAGTTATTTGTTATAGCTTGGCATGACAGGTGAAGTGACAACAAAGGGAGATAATTTATACAGTACTTGCCAACTGCAGCCATTTTGTATGATTAAAATCCCACTCATTCACTCACTTTCAATTGATTATTATGGTCATGTTCCACAATTCCATCTTAGTGCTATGACTTTAGTGTAAATGTGTACAATGATTTTGTCTGTGCATTATCCATCAAGTTATCTGTCTCTGGTCGTTAACCAATGTCTTCTAGGAAACTACAAGGAATATAGTGTATGTAGAAAAGAACAAAATGTTAACAGAAGTTTTAGACATGGTGGCCAATATTTCTTGACCATGTAACAATGTGATTACATACTTAATGAACCCACAGGGATTCCAGATTAAAATGGTCCCCAGCAACCTATTCTGATAATAAGAGACAACTTATTGGGTCAGGTTGTCAGTTTGTTGATGGCAGGTCAACATAACCCAGTGGCATGGTTCATTGCTCATGATATCAGTCACTGGATTGGCTGTCGTCAAATAGATTGTTTGTTACTGAGTTATTAAAGAATACACACATAGTTACTCTTATGCTTAAATGACAGAGCTATATATTGTACATTACCATGGTTACAGTAAGAAGATTGAGGAGTTACAGTCAGCGAGGGACAGAGACCAGAAGTATTATCAAGACCAGATCAACAAACTGCAGCAGGAGATTGAGAAACATAAAAAAGTATGTCAAGAGTTTAAATGATAAAATAATTAGTAAATCACAGGTTGTGTCAATGGTTTGTTCAGGATGTAGTAATATTCAGTGTTTGTAATAGTGTTCCTGGACTACTAAACAGGAAAAAAACACTTGTTCAGAGACAAAGTCAGTGTGTCGAGATGATGGACTCCCATGGTTTATATATCACAATATGAAAGGTGTAATGTTGTCCAAAGGAATTTGTCCATTGCTATGCAGTATTTACCAGAATCTGTAAGAATCTACATAAAATGTTGCTAATGTAATAAATCAAAAGTTCTTATCCACACTAGATGTACCTTGTATTATGCATGGTTTAGAATTGTGTCATCTGAAATAGACTCAGTATGGAGGTATGGCTGTAACTTTATTCAATGTATACATTATAACAGAATAACATATGGTACACAAGGTAATTCAGGATGATTGACAGCCAGTATTTTCCTGTGTGTACAGTCTGATGAGAGTAAGCAGTCCTCATCAGATCACCAGATACAGGATCTACAGAGAACTGTGAAGACTCTTCAGTCACAGGTTGGTGCTTCATTTATTGTACAGTGAAACCTGCCAACACCGGCACCTGTCTAATCTGGCACACTGTCATTTTGGTCCCACCATTTTACAACGATATTATGATAATTAAAACATTGTCTAATCCGGCGCCTGTCTATTCCATATTCCGGCATGACTTTCTGATCCCAACAAGCAATTTTAACTAATTAACACTGTCTGAACCGGCATGGGTATGAGCAGTCCAATCAAGGACCCATAGTCCAATACACTAAGTAATCCTCTTGTCATGCTAGATAATCAGAAAATAGTGATTGCGCGGTGAATCAAACGCTCTAAGCCGGCATGGGTAAGACCAGTCCAATCCGTAGGATTACCACGGTTATACTTAATAAACACTTGGGGATTGCATTAATCAAAGAGTAAATAAATAGGCATTGGTTTTGTTGACTCGTCAGTCACTTTGTGTGTCATGATGGGTTTTGGACATTGTGAAAAAGCGTGATGTTTTCAACAATGTTTTGTGCTGAATAAAGAATAATTATCTGTCATCAACATTGTTTTGATTTGTTGCACAATTACGAAAGGTCAAAGGCATTATAGAGATAAGGGATTGACAAGTGTAAATGGCAGCAATGTTGGAAAATGATCGTCACTGTCTAATCCGGCACCCTGTCAAAACCTGGCATTTTATTTCGGCCCTGTGGGGTGCCCGTTTAGACAGGTTTCACTGTATATCTGTCTATTTTTCATAGTTCAGAGTGTAGTGTGAAAAGCTGGGTTAGCATTGGTCTTCAGCAGCCCATGCTTGTTGTAAGAGCAATTGACGTGATCAAATAGTTGATACAGTCTTCCTATTCCAACTGCTTAGATGCATGCTCATGATAACAACGTGTGGATTGTCTAGTCCAGCCTCAGTTATTTACTGATGGAACAGGCTGCGATCACATAGCTATAGTGTTTCTGACTGTGGTTCAACAACAAAACAAAACACACAAAACATTAATATTTATGTGACAGATTTAATTTCGTAATGTTCTTGTTAATGATGAGTGTGTATATCAGCAGATATAAACAGCCTGCATAATCTTAGAACGGCATTAAGAGATTCGAGCTCCACTGGACTAAAGGCTAAATGAACTTATCCCTAATTTTCCTGACATTTTAATTTTCTGCTACTCCAAAAGTGAAGCGTATTAGATGAGTGATGATTTTCTTACTAGAATTCAGTACAAAATGTCCTACATGTGAAGATGTTGACTGTAGTGTTGTCTTCTGACATCAGGTTGATGCTGCTGGCATTGTGGGCTCCCAGCAGCTCCAGGAACAGAGCAGCAAGTATGAGCAACAGGTCACAGAGCTACAGAACAAAGTGGAACAGCTGTCACAGCACAGGGAGGACTTGCAGCTGCAGCTGAGGGTAGGAACACTAGCAACGTCATCCACTCTGTCTGCCTTCATTTCGTTCTTTTTCATTGTTTGTTAGTTGGTTCATTGGTTTGTTGGTTCGTTCTTTCTTTCAGGACCGCCTCTGTGGTGTAGTGGTTAGAAGCGTCCGCCGGAGAGCCGGAAGGTCGGGTTCGATCCCCAACAGCGTCATACCAAAAGACATTAAAATATGGTACTTGTTGGTCCCTGCCTGGCTCTGGCATTAATGGGTACAACAAGGACTGGTCGGCTTTCGAGTCAGTATAATGTGTCTGAGTGGAGTATTCATGCTTCACTGCTGCATGGTATCTCAATGAGCTAGCACTATAATACCAGCTTAAGTCTGGGCTAGTACAAGCAGCCGCACATACACATACACATGCATGCGCGTCGTCATATGAGGCGAAATATTCTCAAGCATGGCGTTAAACCCAATTTCACCTCACCTCACCTCTTTCTTTCAGTTTATGTATTATGTTTATGAACATAGGGAGACTGGGTTATACTTGGTCTCTAGATCTGGCATTCAGTACTGCTTGTGAGAAGTCGGTGAATTGTTCAGTGGACTTTGTTTATCTCCCATCAGGATTTTGGGTTAGAATTGGTCACAGAAACCTGGTTGTAAAATGTGGCCCAATGGATTGAGCAGCACCTTGATCATGTCTTTGTACCCCAACTCTCACAATACTCTCACAATGTCAATCACTAGATGGTAATGTTGAAGTTGTGACAGCCTGAAATTGTTTATTTACATCATTAGATATCAGAATTAGCTTTTATTTGAGCTGACTTGGCAAAAACTTGAAGAGACCAGGGCTACTAATTGAAGATGTGTGGTGGTTGAGAATGATCTATCTGTTGTGCAGGAGAGCCAGAAGGCGAGCCAGGAGACCCTGGACCAGCTCCAGGCTGCCCAGAAGGAGAGAGACACAGAGATACAGGCCCTACAGGAGGTCAGCAAGGTCAGTACACGCTCATCTCAAATCTTTATAATGCAGACCTCATTTCAATACAAGCCAAGTGCATAACCTTAAAATATAATAGTAAGTGTTTCCGTGGCATTTGATTGGCTTGACTGGATTTGGGTGACTGCAAGGGGCACAATTTAGTAGCGTGTAAAACACTGAAAAAATCATGTAGAATTTAAAGCCCTGTTGACCACTTCTAGATGCTTGCAATCACTTTTAACACATCAGTCTAGCCCTGTAGTTGATGTTGTCTAAGATCAAGAAAGAATAGAACTGGCACTGTTATGATTATTAGCGAATGTTAAGGGAAGAAATCACATGTCTGATAGAGACATGTTTAGATAGACAGAATAGATCACTTGCATGACATTTTTACTAAAATTACTAAATACACACTGGATAGGACACTTTAAGGGTTTTTATGATGTAAGGGAGTTACTACTGACAGTAAGTAAATGCACTCACCCATCTCTTCACTTCCTCAGATTGCTGAGAAGAGGAAATCCCTACTGGATGAGCTGGCCATCAAGTACCAGAAGGACTGTGACTCTCATCACGCCTACATCAAGCAGGTGGAGGAGAAGCATGGGGACGAGGTGCAGGCACTGCAGAAACACATAGAGGAACTAGGGGTAAACACCTTAATGTGTTACACTAAGCTCACCTGAACATGTGATATGTAGCTCACCTGAACATATAATATAAACTAGGGACATCTGCCGGCATGTTTATGAAAAAGGTCTCTGTTACATGCATAATGTACTTGGGTAAGTAAGGTCATGTGTAACTCTGAGCTCACCTTCACAAGTGACACGTAGCTCACCTTCACAAGTGACATGTAGCTCACCTTCACAAGTGACATGTAGCTCACCTTCACAAGTGACATGTAGCTCACCTTCACAAGTGACATGTAGCTCACCTTCACAAGTGACACGTAGCTCACCTTCACAAGTGACACGTAGCTCACCTTCACAAGTGACACGTAGCTCACCTTCACAAGTGACATGTAGCTCACCTTCACAAGTGACACGTAGCTCACCTTCACAAGTGACATGTAACTCACCTTCACAAGTGACATGTACCTCACCTTCACAAGTGACGTAGCTCACCCTCACAAGTGACACCGTAGCTCACCTTCACAAGTGACATGTAACTCACCTTCACAAGTGACATGTTACTCACCTTCACAGGTGACATGTAGCTCACTTTCACAAGTGACATGTAGCTCACCTTCACAAGTGACACGTAGCTCACCTTCACAAGAGACATGTAGCTCACATTCACAAGTGACATGAAGCTCACCTTCACAAGTGAGATGTAGCTCACCTTCACAAGTGACATGTAGCTCACCTTCACAAGTGACACGTGAAGCTCAACTTCAAAAGTGACACGTAACTCACCTGCACAAGTGACACGTAGCTCACCTTCACAAGTGACATGTAGCTCACTTTCACAAGTGACATGTAGCTCACCTCCACAAGTGACACGTAGCTCACCTTCACAAGTGAGATGTACCTCACCTTCACAAGTGACATGTAGTTCACTTTCACAAGTGACACATAGCTCGCTTCTTCACAAGTGAGATGTAGCTCACCTTCACAAGTGACATGTAGCTGACCTTCACAAGTGACACGTGAGCTCAACATCAAAAGTGACACGTGAACTCACCTTCACAAGTGAGATGTACCTCACCTTCACAAGTGACAAGTAGTTCACTTTCACAAGTGACACATAGCTCACCTGCACAAGTGACACGTAGCTCACTTTCACAAGTGACATGTAGCTCACCTCCACAAGTGACACGTGGCTCACCTTCACACAAGTGAGATGTGGCTCACCTTCACAAGTGACATGTAGCTCACTTTCACAAGTGACACATAGCTCACCTTCACAAGTGACACGTAGCTCACCTTCACAAGTGAGATGTACCTCACCTTCACAAGTGACATGTAGCTCAAGTTCACAAGTGACATGTAACTCACCTGCACAAGTGACACGTGGCTCAACTTCACAAGTGACATGTACCTCACCTTCACAAGTGACACGTAGCTCACCTTCATAAGTGACACGTGCTCACCTTCACAAGTGTCGTAAGCTCACCTTCACAAATGACATGTCACTCACCTTCACTTCGACATGGAGTGAGCACCTTCACTAGTGACATGTAGCTCACCTTCACAAGTGACATGTAGCTCACCTTCACAAGTGACACATAGCTCACCTTCACAAGTGACACGTTACCTCACTCAAATGACATGTAGCTCACCTTCACAAGTGACACGTAGCTCACCTTCACAAGTGCTCACCTTCACAAGTGACACGTAGCTCACCTTCACAAGTGACATGTACCTCACCTTCACAAGTGACATGTAGCTCACCTTCACAAGTGACACGTAGCTCACCTTCACAAGTGAGATGTACCTCCCCTTCACAAGTGACATGTGACTGGGGATGACTTCCTCAGTGTGAAATATATAGCTCACCTTCAAATGTAAACTGTAGCTTACCTTGTGTGAAATGAACATGGGTTAACTACCTCTGGGTGTGGCATGTAGCTCACCTTTGCTTGTAACATTTATCTCACCTTCACTTGCAACATAAACTATGTCATGTGATGTTACTGAGAATACTCGCTTGTATAGCTTGAGCTGACATGTAGAATTATTGAACTCAAGCTAGGTATTGAATGAGTGAAGAATGGAATTGTGTCCTTTGTGTGTTAAAGCATTCAAATGAAGAATTGATATGAAAGGGTTGATTTGAACCGTCTTTAATCTTTTCCAGCTAAGATGTGATCAGTTACAGAAATATGAACATCAGTGCGATGAACTCCAGACAAGAGTTAAGTCCCTTGAAGATGCAAAAGGCTGGTTGGAGAGACGATTGAAGGAAACAGAGGTGAGATTGAATTATATGCTTGTGTGCCCCAAGTTGATTCCAGGTTAGAGAAGATCCCCAAGAATCTATGTTTGTTGTTGGAGACGACCAAATGAATCTGGTATTCAGTCACACTGATGTAAATGATAACGTCCTCATACCACAATAGCATGGATCACTGCTCATGATGTCAGTCACTGGATTGTCTGGCCCAAATTCGAAAATTTCGATGCCACCATCATATACTGTTATATTGCTGAGTGCAGCATTAACAACAGACATCTAGTGCTGAATCAATTGATAGAATGTTTCACAACAGAATGGGTGTATATAAGTCGACAAACAAGTTATAGAATGCAAATAGTTATCAGTAATACAATTCTTTCTGAATATTTGATATTACGATAACACACTTAGCTAGTGTCTCCATGTGTTGTTCTGTAGTTGTTGTTGACACTGTTGTGCACTCCCTATCATCCAGGAGAACATGCAGCAGGTGAAGCTGAGTCACGAGGAAGTGATCAGTGAGATGAAGTCCAGCCAGGAGACGGAGATGCTGAATCTCAGGTCAGCCCACAAAGAGGAGGTCACTGCAATACACGAAAAAGAACAAATAGAAACTAAGGTAAGTCTGTTTCTGTGTTTCTCTTATTAGCAAGAAGGAGATTCCAAATCAGGAAACGTCTCAAGTGAATTATTAATAAAATGAATGAGAAGTTATTTTTGACCCAATTGCTGATACTGTATTATTCAATATCCCTGTTTTCTAAGATAATCAGTATACAACTAAAGTGGTGGTACAGTGCTTGTTTATAGTTTGATAAAGGCAATCACTTTTCTATATCTGGAATAAAACTGATTCCATCTCAAAGAGAAATTATAATCATGCAAATTAAAGTTAAAAATTTCTAACATAATTCTTTTTCAGGAATGGCAAACTAGGGAGGAGAGTTTAATGGAAGAGATTGGAAGCCAGAAGGAAAGGATTACATCTTTAGAACAGGTAAACATTTTCTTTTAAAACAGTTAGTCAAATCACAGATAATGTTCAGGCTTTTCAAAGGTTGTGAGTAAAAGCTTTTGTTATCTTGGATCTCAGTGCATATCCTTTGGATATCTGATATCTTGAATGCGATATGACATACATATATTATTTAGTTCTTCAAGCCTGTAACCAAAAGTGTAGGTGTTTGGAAAGTATAAAGAAGTACTTCTACATCCAAACCCAGGAGTTGAGAGTCTGTGTAGTCACCAGATTCAGTCTACTTTGTGCACATTTACAAATATTTGCAATAGCTCTAGATACTCTCTGGAGCCATAAGTCAGTGAAACAAATGATATATTTGGCATTACACTATTTGTTTAAGGTAAATGTTTCTTACTTCCTAAAGGGTAGTGTGGACTGTAACTTGTACTCTCAGCTTCACGAGGCAAGCATGTGTACATCCTTGGTTTGACATTTCTTGCAGGAAATTAAAGACAGTGTAGGTGAGAAGAAGATCCATGAAAAGAAAGGCATGACTATGGTGAGTTGTCAAACACACAGACTGGGTACTAGGGTTGACAACAGTGAAGGTCAAGTCAGGCCTAGTGATGCAATCTTTTTGGTATAGAATTATTGGACAGGATAGGTCTTCAGTGCTCTGTTATCCCTTAGGGGGACATGTTATTGTAGGTAATTGGGCATACAAACATATTAATACACAACTATAGCTTAGTGATACACAAACTTTATGATTTAGAAGTCCTGAACAGGATAGGACCTCAGTACTCTGTTAACCCATCGAGGGACATGTCATTTCAGACAATAGTGCATACAAACTCATTATACAGAATTCCTGTACAGGATAGGTCCTCAGTACTCTGTTAACCCATCGAGGGACATGTTATTTCAGACAATAGTGCATACAAACTCATTATACAGAATTCCTGAACAGGATAGGTCCTCAGTACTCTGTTAACCCATCGAGGGACATGTTATTTCAGACAATAGTGCATACAAACTCATTATACAGAATTCCTGTACAGGATAGGTCCTCAGTACTCTGTTAACCCATCGAGGGACATGTTATTTCAGACAATAGTGCATACAAACTCATTATACAGAATTCCTGTACAGGATAGGTCCTCAGTACTCTGTTAACCCATCGAGGGGACATGTTATTTCAGGGACATGTTATTTCAGACAATAGTGCATACAAACTCATTATACAGAATTCCTGTACAGGATAGGTCCTCAGTACTCTGTTAACCCATCGAGGGACATGTTATTTCAGACAATAGTGCATACAAACTCATTATACAGAATTCCTGTACAGGATAGGTCCTCAGTACTCTGTTAACCCATCGAGGGACGTGTTATTTCAGGCAATAGTGCATACAAACTCATTATACAGAATTCCTGTACAGGATAGGTCCTCAGTACTCTGTTAACCCATCGAGGGTCATGTTATTTCAGGCAATAGTGCATACAAACTCATTATACAGAATTCCTGTACAGGATAGGTCCTCAGTACTCTGTTAACCCATCGAGGGTCATGTTATTTCAGGCAATAGTGCATACAAACTCATTATACAGAATTCCTGAACAGGATAGGTCCTCAGTACTCTGTTAACCCATCGAGGGTCATGTTATTTCAGACAATAGTGCATACAAACTCATTATACAGAATTCCTGTACAGGATAGGTCCTCAGTACTCTGTTAACCCATCGAGGGTCATGTTATTTCAGGCAATAGTGCATACAAACTCATTATACAGAATTCCTGAACAGGATAGGTCCTCAGTACTCTGTTAACCCATCGAGGGTCATGTTATTTCAGACAATAGTGCATACAAACTCATTATACAGAATTCCTGTACAGGATAGGTCTCCTGTACTCCATTCGTCATATGAGCGAAATATTCTCAAGCACGACGTTAAACCCAATTACATCTCACCTCCTGTACTCCATGTTCCTCTTGGAGGGACCGTTAGCGAATAGTTAATAAAGGCATCTGTACAAAAGTGGGGGAGGTAACACAGCTTAGGCGTAAAACTCCTGGACAAGATATGTTCCCCTGTGTTTCCCTTGTACTGGAGTGGAAAACTTCTCTCTGAAAACCCTAATGGTGATTGGTGAATGAAATACTTGCAGACCTATTAACCCGCACCTGAACTTAAAGGATTAAAATATTCATCTGATAGCCAGCTTTTGTGCTTCACAGCTGCCATAGAACCTATTTGGAGTTTGTGGTTGGTAACTGTAACCTTATGGCATGGATCAATACTGACGTCATGCAATCTGAAGATTATCTTCATATAAAAATAGATCATTGAATATTTTTACATGTTTTTATCAATAAATGACTCTTCTATGGTACAGTTAATGATAGTCTTAAGGGAACATGTAGGGACACGGGATATAGGATATTCCTTTCTGATATTAACTTATGTTGAAATCACTGATAAGAAGCTGTTCCCAAAGACCAGTATGACCTGTAATCATGAGGTGATGGTGAGAGTGTATAGGATCTGACTGACGACTATATAGCAAATATGTACGATAACCTGTATCGAAACGTCGCAATCTCGTAATAAAGAAGTTGTTATCCATAAAGTTTGTCTATATTGAACTTCTAAAATGCCACTGAAAGGAGTGATTGACCACGATATGTGATGTGTGGCTGAGTGGTGAGTTCATGTTTCAGCTGAAGGACCTGAAGCGGCAGCTCCATGCTGAGAGGAAGAGGGCAGAGAAACTGCAGGAGAGGCTGCAGGATGTCTTGTCTGATACCAAGAACAGACAGAGTGAGTCCTGATATAAAACACATCTGGCACATACACTCATCTGGTGCCCTGTTCCCTTCTAGTCAAAACCATGTGCTATTTGGTTGTTTTGCAGAACAGGGCCCCATTTCACAAAGCTCTCGTTGTGACGAGATCTTAGGCTTACGAGAGCTTTGTGAAACTTGGCCCTGAACTTTTTCTAGGTTGGGTATTATTAGAAATATAATCATACGCTATAGCTATCCAAATTATTAATATAGGGAGTTGCTGTGGACTTGTCAATTATTTCACACTACAAAGGCATGTATGTCACTTTATACTGTTTAGGTGTGTTAAGTTCATTGTATGGGCAGGTTGTTATTCTTTGTAAGGACCTCACTGAGGGCAACATGTGAAGATCTGGGTGAGCGTTGGTCTTCAGCAACCAATGCTTATTGTAAGAGCCAACTAATGGGATCAGGTGGTCAGGCTTGCTGACTTGATTGATGCATGTGATCGTCTCCAAATTGCACAGATCACTGCTCATGTCAGTCACTGGATTGTCGGGCCTAGGTACCCTTTTCACAGTCTCCTATTGTCGGACAATTTGCAGTCCATTCAGTCCTTGAGGAAGGAGCTAACCTGTACATACCCTTTTCTGATGCCAGTGGATTATCTCAACTCCCTCAATAATAGCCAGTGTGATGATGCAGTGATGTCATTGTTTAAACCAAAGATAACTACTGAAGATAGTAACCTGAATATACAATTCAATGGCTCAAAGAATTATCTGCAGGTCTGAGTATACCATTGCGTTGATGGATGTGAGTTGCTCACCAAGCTGACATCAAACAGAGTTCTGTCCATTAGTTAAGCCAGGATCCTAAACTTGTCCCTGATTATGATCCTGAGGGTCTCAGCACCATGCTAATCTGCTAGGTTTCACCAAATTGACTAACAGCTGCAACTGGCATAACGTAGTTGATTTCCACCCTAATTAAGATTCTGCTGAGTGAAGTACCATTCAAAGCAGTGTTTTGAGTCAACTCATCCACCTTGTAATCTCTATGTGTTGATATCTGGATGTAAAATAAGATGTGCCATGTCTTGAAATCCAAGCAATGATTAGCCAAAACTTGTTAGATCTGTGTAAACGCACCACTGGGATTTAGGATGGAAGAAAATGTTGCAGGCAAGCATTCCTGACTCATAAATCACTTTATGTTGCAGGTATAGAGGATCTGTTCCGGCCTGTCGACCCGTCAGACCCACTAAGGGGAGACAGCAGGTGAGTAGGAGAAAGTCCTGAATTTTAATACTAGGCCATAAAAGGGTGACAATGGCAATGTACTGGCCAAGCTTAGATGTGTGGAATTTGCACAAAAGTGTGTGTCTTATCATAGAAAGCAGGGCATTTTTACACCAGACATACTTGATTTGCTAATGTATTGGTACTATTTGTTGTTAAATTGGTTTTGTAAACTGCACAGGGTAATGTAAAAATGTGAGCATAGAACTGACTGTAGCAAACTTTCAAATGTACTTTTGAATGCCTCTTTGCATTGCCTTAATGGCAACATTTAGAAGACAGTTGAACTTTGAAGTGTATTTGGAAAACATGTTTCCAGAAATTCAATTTCATTTAAAGGGTCTCAGCAACTAATAGCCTCATGAATAAAAGAAATCCATTCAGTATAGTTCAAACTGTTCCTGACTTGGAAATATATTAACAGGGATTTACATCTGTTTCAGCTCTGTGTCGTCCTGGAGTGCAGGAGCCAGTGGATTAGGAACCAAAGACTCCATGGCCAGTGGGCCGCAGGTGGGTATTGACTCATGTTGTGATTCATTCAGTCAATATCTGTGTGGGGGTTGGGACTTAGATTGATTGGTTGGTTAGTTGTTGTTTAAAGCCACACTCAGCAGTATTCCACTGGTTGGTTAGTTGTTGTTTAACGCCACACTCAGCAGTATTCCACCTATATGGCGGTGGTCTGTAAATAAGTGAGTCACAATCCAGTGATCAACAGCATGAGCATCGTTCTAGGCAACTGGGATATGATGACATGTGTCAACCAAGTCAGCGAGCCTGACCACCTGATCCCGTTTGGCGCCTCTTTTGACAAGCATGGGTTTCTGAAGATCAATTCTTGAGTGTTCTGATTTAAAAGTATTCTCCAGTAACTGCTGCAGGCTGTAAGAGGCAACTGATTGCATTGAGAGGTCAACCTTAGTGACTTGTTGAATGTATATCTGTGTACCCTACAGTGTGGATCAGTACTCATAATATCTACCACGGGATCATATGGTCAAGATTTGATTATTTTCTTGCTGCCATCAAATTGCTGGAATTTCTGAGTCTGGCGACCAAATGAATCGGAGTTAAGTTCTGTCACTTGGTTGAAAGCATATAATCATAGCGAACCTGTTTGGCTCTGTTATCTAAGGTGCAGCAATTTGTCATGTGGAGCACCAGATTTGCTGAATAAGTCATCATGTGTCTATGAACAGAAATTGCATTCAGGAATGAACGTACCAACATGCGATTTATTTGAAAAATGTGACACAGCATTGACAAGAAACAATGGAAGGTGACAAATCCTCTTGCTTTATTCATCCGTAAATAAGGAAATGAGCATGTTTTCGGCTGTTTTTCATTTGACAACTTCTGTAAATGCATAATAACTTTTTTCCGGTTTGGGGACCAAAATACTGCAGTCTACCTTGTTAGGATACTATCCAAATCCATCAAAGGCAGAATATTTCCATGGCTTGGCATTCTGTTACATATAGATGTAAGGTGAGGACTGACAGGTGTTTTGTGTTGCAGTCACCCAACCACACGGCCAACTTCAGTTTCACCAGTGAGGTGGAGCAGGAATACGGGAGTTGATGGCACGGGTCTGCTGATGTACAGCAGCAGAAGTGGGCTCTGGAGGAGAAGGTGGGTACACTGTGTGGTAGAGTGGTAGTTAGGTGGAGCAGGAATAGGGGAGCTGATGGCACGGGTTGCTGATGTACAGCAGCAGAAGTGGGCTCTGGAGGAGAAGGTGGGTACACTGTGTGGTAGAGTGGTAGTTAGGTGGAGCAGGAATATGGGGAGTTGATGGCATGGGTTGCTGATGTACAGCAGCAGAAGTGGGCTCTGGAGGAGAAGGTGGGTACACTGTGTCAGGTTGGGTACACTGTGTCAGGATGGGTATACACTGTCAGGATGGGTACACTCAGTCAGGGTGGGTACACTGTGTCAGGGTGGGTACACCTGTGTCAGGATGGGTACACTGTGTCAGGATGGGTACACACTGTCAGGATGGGTACACTCAGTCAGGGTGGGTACACCTGTGTCAGGATGGGTACACTGTGTCAGGATGGGTACACTGTGTCAGGGTGGGTACAGTGTGTCAGGGTGGGTACAGTGAATGTCGGTGGGAGTACACTGTGTCAGGGTGGGTACACTGTGTCAGAAGGTGGGTACACTGTGTCAGGGTGGGTACACTGGTGTCAGGATGGGTACACTCACGTCAGGATGGGTACACTCTGTAGAAGTGTGTACAGCTGTCAGGATGGGTACTCTGGAGGTCAAGGTGGGTACACTGTGTCAGGATGGGTACACTATGTCAGCAGGTGGATACACTGTGTCAGGGTTGGTACACTGTCAGGGTTGGTACACTGTGTCAGGGTTGGTACACTGTCAGGACTGGTACACTGTGTCAGGTTGGGTACACTGTGTCAGGATGGGTATACACTGTCAGGATCGGTACACTGTGTCCGGATGGGTACACTGTCAGGATGGGTACACTATGTCAAGGTGGGTACACGTGTGTCAGGATGGGTACACTGTGTCAGGGTGGGTACACTGTGTCAGGATGGGTACACCTGTGTCAGGATGGGTACACTGTGTCAGGATGGGTACACTGTGTCAGGATGGGTACACTGTGTCAGGATGGGTACACTGTGTCCAGGATGGGTACACTGTGTCAGGATGGGTACACTGTGTCAGGATGGGTACACTGTGTCAGGATGGGTACACTGTGTCAGGATGGGTACACTGTGTCAGGATGGGTACACTGTGTCAGGATGGGTACACTGTGTCAGGATGGGTACACTGTGTCAGGATGGGTACACTGTGTCAGGATGGGTACACTGTGTCAGGATGGGTACACTGTGTCAGGATGGGTACACTGTGTGTCAGGATGGGTACACTGTACACTGTCAGGATGGGTACACTGTGTGGGATGGGTACACTGTGTCAGGATGGGTACACTGTGTGTCAGGATGGGTACACTGTGTCAGGATGGGTACACACTGTGTGTCAGGATGGGTACACTGTGTCAGGATGGGTACACTGTGTCAGGATACACTGTGGTATGGGTACACTGTGTCAGGATAGGTACAGTGTCAGGATGGGTACACTGTGTCAGGATGGGTACACTGTGTCAGGATGGGTACACTGTGTCAGGATGGGTACACTGTGTCAGGATATGGGTACACTGTGTCAGGATGGGTACACTGTGTCAGGATGGGTACACTGTGTCAGGATGGGTACACCTGTCAGGATGGGTACACTGTGTCAGGATGGGTACACTGTGTCAGGATGGGTACACTGTGTCAGGATGGGTACACTGTGTCAGGATGGGTACACTGTGTCAGGATGGGTACACTGTGTCAGGATGGGTACACTGTCAGGATGGGTACACTGTGTCAGGATGGGTACAGTGTGTCAGGATGGGTACACTGTGTGTCAGGATGGGTACACTGTGTCAGGATGGGTACACTGTGTCAGGATGGGTACACTGTGTCAGGATGGGTACACTGTGTCTGTATGGGTACACTGTGTCAGGATGGGTACACTGTGTCAGGATATGGGTACACTGTGTCAGGATGGGTACACTGTGTCAGGATGGGTACACTGTGTCAGGATCAGGATGGGTACACTGTGTCTGTAGGATGGGTACACTGTGTCAGGATGGGTACACTGTGTCAGGATGGGTACACTGTCAGGATGCGTACACTGTGTCAGGATGGGTACACTGTGTCAGGATGGGTACACTGTGTCATGATGAATACACTGTGTCAGGATGGGTACACTGTGTCAGGATGTGTACACTGTGTCAGGATGGGTACACTGTGTCAGGATGGGTACACTGTGTGTCAGGATGGGTACACTGTGTCAGGATGGGTACACTGTGTCAGGATGGGGTACACCTGTCAGGATGGGTACACTGTGTGTCAGGATGGGTACACTGTCTGTCAGGATGGGTACACTGTCAGGATGGGTACATTACACCTGTGTGTCAGGATGGGTACACCTGTATGTGTCAGGATGGGTACACTGTGTCAGGATGGGTACACTGTGTCAGGATGGGTACACTGTGTCAGGATGGGTACCCTGTATCCAGGTACACTGTGTCAGGATGGGTACACTGTCAGGATTGGTACACTGTCAGGGTGGGTGCACTGTGTCAGGATGGGTACACTGTGTCAGGTTGGGTACACTGTGTCAGGATGGGTACACTGTCAGGATTGGTACACTGTCAGGATGGGTACACTGTGTCAGGATGGGTACACTCTGTCAGGATGGGTACACTGTGTCAGGATGGGTACACTGTGTCAGGATGGGTACACTGTGTCAGGGTGGGTACACTGTGTCAGGAGGATGGATTACACTGTCAGGATGGGTACACTGTGTCAGGATGGGTACACTGTCAGGATGGGTACACTGTGTCAGGATGGGTACACTGTGTCAGGATGGGTACACTGTGTCAGGATGGGTACACTAATGTCAGAGGATGGGTACACACTCTGTCAGGATGGGTACACCTGTGTCAGGATAGGTACACTGTGTCAGGATTGGGTACACTGTGTCAGGATGGGTACACTGTGTCAGGATGGGTACACTGTGTGTCAGGATGGGTACACTGTGTCAGGATGTACACTGTGTGGGTACACTGTGTCAGGATGGGTACACTGTCAGGGTGTGTGTACACTGTGTCAGGATGGGTACACTGTGTCAGGATGGGTACACTGTGTCAGGATGGGTACACTGTGTCGGGATGGGTACACTGTGTCAGGATGGGTACACTGTGTGTCAGGGTGGAATTACACACTGTGTCAGGATGGGTACACTGTGTCAGGATGGGTACACTGTGTCAGGATGGGTACACTGTGTGTCAGGATGGGTACACTGTGTCAGGGTGGGTACACTGTGTCAGGATGGGTACACTGTGTCAGGATGGGTACACTGTGTGTCAGGATGGGTACACTGTGTCAGGGTGGGTACACTGTGTCAGGATGGGTACACTGTGTGTCAGGATGGAGTCACATGGGTACACTGTGTCAGGATGTGGGTACACTGTGTCATGGGGTCAGGATGGGTACACTGTGTCAGGATGGGTACACTGTGTCAGGATGGGTACACTGTGTCAGGTCAGGTACATGGGTACACTGTCATGTGTGTCAGGATGGGTACACTGTGTCAGGTGGGTACACTGTGTCACACTGTGTGTCAGGATGGGTGGGTACACTGTGTCAGGATGGGTACAGGGTGGGTACACTGTGTCAGGGTGGGTACACTGTATCAGGATGGGTACACTGTGTGTCAGGGTGGGTACACTGTATCAGGGTGGGTACACTGTGTCAGGATGGGTACACTGTATCAGGGTGGGTACACTGTGGGTTGGGTGATTACATGTTACTCCAGTGTTTAATGTCTGTGATATTTCAGGTCTCTCATCTGGAGACAAGCAATGCATGCATGGCTGATGACTTGTTGAAGAAGACTGCCATCATTAGCTACTATGTCATGGACAGCAGATCAGGTAATTCATATGTTTTCTTTCTTCATGGGAGACTTGTGTGGCCCTGACTTTTGAGCCCGTGAATTCACTGTTCAGAGTTGTTTGTTTGCATACCAGGATCCCATCAAACATTGTTTTGTTTCCCAATGATTTCATTCAACCAGAACATTCTACCATGATTGGACCATGAAGGTGGATGGAGCCTTGATTTGACCAGAAATATTTCTGACCTGTTACCTGGTCATTTTGTGACTGTGTACATCTGACACTTCACAACCTAATGACAGGACAGGCAAACCGTACACAAGTCCATAGACTTGGGTTAGAGTAGCTTCCCTTGGATACAGTGCAGCTCCTGGATTGCCTTGAAAGGCAAATAGAAAAGATTTATGTGGTCAATTATTATGCCACTGTCTAAAGAGCATGTCTCAGTTGGAACTATATTGATTGCTGTGACTGTAAACCCAAACAATCAAAAACCTTTTGAAGTCATATGTATGATGGTGAATATTTTGTGTTAGAAATCCTTGTCTTTCCCTTAAAAATGTGTTTACCATCCCAAAATACACTCGCATGATACCCACTGTGGATTGTCGAAACGTGATTATTTACTGGGAGCCTTCAACAGCTGTAATATTGTGGAGTACATAAGCAAACAACAAGCGCACACACTTTAGCCTATCCTCTGAAGTCTGGTCCAGCAAAATGTCATTCTTCCTCAAGTTAAGTTGTCCCTCGTCGCATCGTGCAACAGGGGACTATGCATTCAGCAGCATGCGTACATACGTCCCGATTCTTGTTAATGCAATATCTCATGAACCCAAGTCTTCAAATTTGGTGACAGCCTACTTTGGGGGATTACGCAGACAACACTTTGACCACATTTCAAACTTATCAAAATGCAATATCTCATGCATTGTTGTACCCAATATCATCGAAATGGTTGACAGCCTACAGTCGATTTGGGTGACCTTGACCTTATCTTCAAGGTCACATGACATCTTGTTAACATGATAACTACATCATACAAAAGGTAATGTTCTATGTGACCAAAAGATAAAACCTAGTAAATATGTTATTTTTCATTCATCTTTAGCGGTGAGGGACATTGCCATGTTAGTGCAAACACTTTGTGTGGGGACTCTAGGGTTGGTAATTTGTTGACTAGCTGATCCAACACCCCCATGATTGTTGGTAATTGAGTGAAGTAATCTTGAACGCCATGTTAAACCCTTTTTCACTTCACCTACCGTTTACTTGTGAAGATCCGGGTTAGAATTGGTCTTCAGCAACCCATGCTTAAAACATGACTATCAGGATCGGGTGGTCAGGCTCAATGGCATGGTTGACACATGTAATCGGATCCCAATTGTGAAGATCGATGCTCATGCTGTTAATCACTGGATAGTTTGGTCCAGACTGGATTATTTACATACAGCCAACATATAGGTGGAATATTGCTGAGTGCTACATTGGACAACAGACCAACCCACCAACCAAATCACCTACCTTTTGCTGAAATTGATCTTTCTCTGATTCTACAAGTTTAGCTTATGACTCGTACTGTGCCTCCAGGGGCGGTGGGGAAGGCTTTACTCTGCTTTTAGCAACAATCCAGCAGTGGGCGATACAAGAAATGGACTTCACACATTATGTCCATGTGGACAATCGAACCCGGATCTTCAGCGTAATGAGCAGATGCTTTAACCATTAGGCTACCCCACCTCCCCTTGCAAGCAAAGGATAACTCCTGCTCTCTCAGTTCCCCACTGGTTCACAGATAGCAAGGATGTTGCTGAAATAATGCTGAATATCACATCATTCACTCAGCCACTGCAGTCAAATAATCATGGCTAAATCAGGGATCCATTTAGAAGTAGGTTATGTTTAGTGATGAAATAATGCTGAATATCACATCATTCACTCAGCCACTGCAGTCAAATAATCATGGCTAAATCAGGGATCCATTTAGAAGTAGGTTATGTTTAGTGATGAAATAATGCTGAATATCACATCATTCACTCAGCCACTGCAGTCAAATAATCATGGCTAATCAGGGATCCATTTAGAAGTAGGTTATGTTTAGTGATGAAATAATGCTGAATATCACATCATTCACTCAGCCACTGCAGTCAAATAATCATGGCTAAATCAGGGATCCATTTAGAAGTAGGTTATGTTTAGTGATGAAATAATGCTGAATATCACATCATTCACTCAGCCACTGCAGTCAAATAATCATGGCTAATCAGGGATCCATTTAGAAGTAGGTTGTGTTTAGTGATGAAATAATGCTGAATATCACATCATTCACTCAGCCACTGCAGTCAAATAATCATGGCTAAATCAGGGATCCATTTAGAAGTAGGTTATGTTTAGTGATGAAATAATGCTGAATATCACATCATTCACTCAGCCACTGCAGTCAAATAATCATGGCTAAATCAGGGATCCATTTAGAAGTAGGTTATGTTTAGTGATGAAATAATGCTGAATATCACATCATTCACTCAGCCACTGCAGTCAAATAATCATGGCTAAATCAGGGATCCATTTAGAAGTAGGTTATGTTTAGTGATGAAATAATGCTGAATATCACATCATTCACTCAGCCACTGCAGTCAAATAATCATGGCTAATCAGGGATCCATTAACAAGTAGGTTATGTTTAGTGATGAAATAATGCTGAATATCACATCATTCACTCAGCCACTGCAGTCATGGCTAAATCAGGGATCCATTTAGAAGTAGGTTATGTTTAGTGATGAAATGATGCTGAATATGCTTGCTGGACAGACAGGACAGTTGGCTTTTGATAATGGTGACATGAATAGGCCAGGTGCTTTAACTACAAACCCAATGTGAAAGGAATTGACCATGTGTGTATAATGCACTCACTTATGTAGATGACTGACTTTGAAATGACTTTCGATCCTGCGATTATTGACCAAGTTTCGCCAGCTGTTGGCCTTATGTTTGTTCTGCTGTTGTTACTGAGCTCTATATCAAGCCATTTGTGTGTCTAGATCAACAGCTTGAACTGATACCACAACCTCATCCCACTGTTACTGAGCTCTATATCAAGCCATTTGTGTGTCTAGATCAACAGCTTGAACTGATACCACAACCTCATCCCACTTTCCATTTTATGAAATCAGATGCTTTGTAGCTGAATTTATTGTTTTCCATTACGTCGGCAAGATGCTGAGAATGATTGTCTGGAGATGCTGATTTTGGAAATCAATATGAAAAAAGCTCTGTGTGTTTGATGCTTTGTAAACGTACTGTGGGCAGAATTGTAGGAAAACCGTTAGTGTCTGTCCTCTACTTCATGTTAAGTTGTTGTATTGAAAGTGATTCTTACCTGAAGGGTTAATAAGACTGATAATATTGATCATGTTACAGTGTCAAAGAAGTAAGTGGGCATTGTGCTGAACTAGTTCTGAGTTTCTTTTGATATTAGACAAACATTAAACTAATGAGAGTCTATTTGTTTCACTAATGACCTACTGGTTGGCATGCCTGTTGTCTTGACTGCCCCACATGAACCATGGTCACAGCTCATGGCGGAGTCACTTCATGAAGCTGTGTCCGTTGGGGGCAGAGCTTCAGACCACAAGGCATCTTTCATCCACAACCACAGAGGGTGGTCCAGGCATTAAGGTTGGCCATTTGAGATAGTGCTTGACACTTTGTAGCCTCAAGCAGTTCATCCATTTATATGAATTTATGATTTTTCAAAGTCACGATTAGGAGATAAACATCATGTGTTGGCGAATTTCCGGGTGTTATTGAGTATTTGAAGCCGCGGGAATTCATTTGGAACCGACGGCAGTCGGAGGTTTCAAATGGATGCTTCAAATAGTCAACCTATGATGTTTATCGACATTGTAAACTAAAAGTAAACCAAAGGTCCCCACACGTTTTTGTGTCTGCACTCATTGACATAGAGTACCGGTACAGCAGTGCAATGTCATCAGCCGGCCGTTTCAGCTGGTTTCCATAGTAGCATCTAGAACTGCTCATTTGTGACGTCATTCGGACTTTACGTCACAATATGATTTGAATGACGTCATCTCAGCTGACGACGTAACAATACAATGGTATGAGCGATGTTTGTATGTATTAATACGCAGCGAATTTCCGGGAATCGAATACCATTTGATCACGTTTTTCAACCAATCAGATTAAAGAACACAGTGAATTTGGTTTACAATATGGCTTAAATATTGCCGATGTGACTATAAATCTTAACTCACTCACTGACTCACTGAAGCAGCTCATACTGTAGTGTGTTAAATGAGGTGCATGAGGTCAAAATGTGTAACTTTGCTGATTGTGGTGAACCAGTGTCAAAATTAAGGAGGTCATTTGTGCTATGGTATTTGAATCTAGGCACCTCGATGTCTTGATCCTTTTCACATGAGCCTTATGACAGAGTGACTTGAGTTGCAATGTTGATTTCAAACAATGTTATGTACCCTTTTTAAATTGGTCGTTGCTCATGTTATTGACCATTTGTGTGCTTGCCCTAGACTGTTTAGTTTATGGACTGCTGTGATAGGAATTTAATGAATTACTGACTCAAAATAAGACACTATTTGTCAGGGTTAGAAAGTTTTGATTTTCACCAGTCTGTAAAAGTGATCTGGCACACAACTGTCATATTTTTATGTTCCTTCCTGAATCTTAATAGCCTTGGCTCTGTTGAACTTCTGTACTTGAATAAATTATCTGGAGAAATGTGGCTCTTAGTTTGAAAGCGCTGCTGTGTTGCCTTGGTCTCATAATGAAGATCTGGGTTAAAATTGGCCCATAGCAACCCATGCTCACGTAGGCAACTAATGGGATCAGGTGGTCAGGCAAGCTGACTTGGTCCATACATATCGGCCTGTGAAGATCCAGGTTAGAATTTATCTTCAGTAACCCAGGCTTGTTGTAAGAGGCGACTAATGGGATCCGGTGGTGAGGCTCGCTGACTTAGTTGATACATGTCATCGTGTCCCAAATTGTGTAGATCG